ACTGGATAAAATCTACTGACTTTTTTCAGCGATTTTCTTCACACTAATATCTATTGCATTGTGTACTAAATTTTGATGACAAAATCTCCCGACTCGACCAATTTGAATACTAAGTATGTCTCATTTAAACAACTGTGATCATAAATGGAAATCAAGCTAATTGTGCTAAAGTGCATTGATACTGTGGGATATGTCTGTATAAATAATAATTTAAAGCATAATGGTTTTGTACAACTATTCACTGTAGATTTACGGAAGTTAAGTTATTGAAGTAAGTCATCTGGAATCCTTCGAGTAAGATTTTATCCTAATTCTCAGTGATCAATTACAGTCTTGGTAGTGTCTATTTATTTTCTCATCACCCAGTGTTACGATCAGATGACCTATAACTGAACTGTACTGACCCAAAAAAACTTCCTGTACTAAGATAGTTGCATAAATTACATACTGTCTAGTAAACATTCTCATGTTTAGTTCTTTGTTATGATCAAATTTAAATACACCTAGAGATGAATAGACTCCCGCAAAATTGAAAATACACCGTATTGACGAATATTACCTAGTTAACAGACATTTTGGCTTTTGTCATCAGTCGCCTAAAATAATAAAAATATGCATTGTAATGTGTATTTATTGGGTTTTGTTGTGACTTTTGGCCCTCTAGTTATCACGTAATCTCGCCAATCAAAATACGACTTTTTCACTTTTGTACTGTTCTAAACCAATGACGTTCGTTCAGTCTGAGCAGCCTAGCCCGCCCAGCTGAGTCCATAATGCCTATGACAACCTCCACTATGCGAATCATTTATTTCAGACATACTGAGTTTACATATCAACCAAACAGACCGCAACGCACCATAAAATAAGAAATAACATACAAAATCAAGCCAAAATGTGGCTGTGAACATGGGGGACAGTAATTAATAAACTGAGTATAATTTAAGAACAGTAAATCGTATAATAATAATCTATAAGTCAAAATGAAGCTTATAATAAGAGGAATATAGATATACTGTTATTTCTCGATAAGAATAATGAATGGTAATTTTTGGGATCTATTTTTGGACCAATACTATGCGTATATTTTTATCGTATAATTGTTAAATACCTAAACTGTTCATATTCATGTCCCTCTTATTATGAGCTTTATTTTGATCTATGAACTATTATTATACGATTAACCACTCTTGAATTATGCCCTGTCTATTAATTACTATCTCCCTCATTCACAGCCACATTTGGCTAAATCTTGTACAAATGTTGTTTTCGATTTTATGGTACGATGTGGTCTGTCTGGTTGGTATATAAGCGCAGTATGCTTGAAATAAATGATTTATATCGCAGAGGCTGAGATTGGTGTTCTGGACTTAACTGGCTGAGCTAGACAGGAAGCAGGACCGATAGTACTCTAGACTGCTCCCACGGGATTTATGCGTCACTGGTCCGATCGATAAGTCACTACTCCCTAAATTGTGGTCACAAGTATAACATATACACATTCTAATTACTGAATAGTTATACCATAAGAATATATCGATAATATTAGTCCATTAATAGGTCCCGAAAGTTACTCATAATTTCATCTTCACTAGGTTATAACAGGTTTATTGATCACATCGCAATTCGATCGATAGGATTTGATGAATACTAAAAACTGAACAACATGAAATGACCAACCATTATGTTGGGTGAGATTCATTTCATTGAAATTTTCATTTAATTCATTTAACACTTCCGTCTAATCGTTGCTTGTTTTATTACACTAAAACACTTAATGTTTTTGATTGAGATCATGAACCTATTGATGTTAGACCATCATTGAAAACCTGGAAGCACTGGACAGCCGTTTCGTTCTATTGTGGGACTCCCCAGCAGAACGCATTCACGATCCTGCTCTCGGTATTCGAACCCAGGGCCTTCAGTCTCGCACACGAACGCTTAACCTACTGGACCACTGAGTGTGTTTCATTAGATCATGGTAATTTATATGAAATCACCAAGTAAATTCATTCCTAAAAAAGAAAATATGTCAATTTATAATTTCCAAATGTTTGTTTTTTCTTCTTCTTCTTCAGCCGAAATGTTAATACATCTAATTGTTCCACAATATCAAATATTATAAATTCTGATTTATCACTTACTCGTTCAGAATTGGATAATTTACGTCGTGAAATTATCATTGAACTACGTAAAGAAGTTCAATTGGCAAAAAATGAAATTATGGATTGTAAATACTTTTTTTTAAATCTATTCATTATAATTGTTGATGTTTCTATTGTCACTGAAATTTACCAGATAGTTAGGAAATATTTCTTTAAATAGATTATTTTAATTTTGAGAAGAATAGTTTTGTTAGGTCTATGAAATCTCTTAAGTCATTTGTGATTGGTACTGAAACCTAGATTTCAATGGAGCGTTGTGATTCGTGCTACTTATATTGATATAAGTAGTATGTGACGCGTGTCAGTAATGTAATGTCTGGCAGCAGAAGATGGGGGAAGATCAAGAAAGGAAGAACGGGAATAGAAAGTAATTAGTATAGAAATGCAAGAACAATGAAGTCCGAGACAATTATTGAACATTTTGCAAATTAGGTATTATAGTATGGGTTTTCTATGTTACCAAGTAACTCTAATCTTGTGCTAAATATAATTCGGTTGTCTTCACCTGTGTTCTCCTTCACTACATCGTCATGGAAACACAAAAGCTGCTGGTATGAATTTATTTAACCTCATATGATTTATTTACATTCAGATTAACAGTTAGACTTTTACAAGTTGAAGTAAATAGTATTTAACATCAATTACTCGTTAACTTACTGTGTGAATACCTATTTACCAAATCATACAATTAAGCATATGTAGCTAACACCTATAATGCATTAACTATGTCGTGTAAGTATAACTCAGGATGTGATCACGCGTCATTAATGATTGGGAAAACTCAGATTCATAGGTCATTCGCGGTTCAAGCGGCTAGGTCATCGCTCTCCATATCAAGTTTTCATCACGAAATGATATCTGTGCTACATCTACTCAACCGCCACCTATCTTGACACGCGATATTCCCAGTTGTAGAAGGAGATTGTAGCCGAGCTAGTGGCAAACAAACCAAGACGCGATATTATTCTATTCAATCATTGACCATTGGACTGAACCGTGTTACTAGGTGTAGAAAACCTGATTGAGGGTCACAAGCTCATCTTGATCAAATGACTGAAGACGTTTGAGTAACTTAGCTCAGAACCGATCACAGATGCACTCTCTATTTTCTTTTATTACATCATACATTTTAAGGTTATGCTGTCTTCTGTTCATTCTTTCTCAAATTTTAACTTCTATTTCCCTGATTTTTCTCACTAGCACTGATATAACCATTATCTCTACGACTTTGGTATTCATTCTGATAATATTATTTGTCTATGCTGATGTGTTGTGACAATTATGCCATGCTCTACGTTGACTGACAGATTGACACTAACTAGGAGATTATTGAATACTCAAAAATGCTGAAGAGTTATTTTATTCTATGTTTAAGACTATTAGAAGTTAATTTTTATTTGCTAGTCAGAATCGATTAAAATCTTTGAAAGCAAACTCAACTAATAAGATTGAATTTATGTACTCAGCTATTTGACAATATTCCTTGTTTTTAAAGGCTAATGATTGGATTGATTATGCTATCCAATATTATAAACTGAAGTACATGTGTTTGAACACCATTAAAATATAATAGTGAAAAGTTTCTTACTTTTAACAGGTATAGCCATGTAACTTTCTAATCTATGTAATTATCATTATATTTGATTGAAAATATCTTTATTACTCACCTCCTACTCCATTGCTGTAATATAAACTATTATTATTTACATTTTCAATGGTGAGTATGAAAGATGTATGAACTTTTACATTTCACAAATTGCATCACTTCAAAAAAGACCTCAATGAAAACCTACATGAGTTTGTAATAGTTGAGATAATCGAAGACAGTTATTACGCGTCTAGTAATTATGCTTGTCGTTTGGTTTCCAAAATAAAACTGGCGAGACTCTAATTTAGGGACGACGTTTGAACGACCTTGACAATTATTAGCCAATCAGAAGACAGTTAGTATAAAGTAAAAATATATTATAAGAAAGTAATGAATTATAGTGGATATTCTTCTTTTACATGATTTAAAAACTTGTTAAGGTTTGATGAAGGTTCAGAGGTTCTGAATTCATAATGCATACGGTATAGAAACTCGCCCATAGGGTTAGGGTAACGGTTAGGATTAGGCTAGGGTGGCGAGGTTCTAATTTAGAGACGAGCCCAAAAGAAGCGTTTGAGCAATTTCAAGGTCACGGAGCCAAGTTCAACACATGATGCTAACATACGACCAGTTTACAGCGAATTTTACAGCAGAGGTTTTTATTGAGAGGTCACAACCCTAACACTGTGGACGAGTTTCTATACCGTATGCATTATGAATTCAGAATCTCTGAACCTTTATCAAACCTTAACAAGTTTTTAAATCATGTAAAAGAAGAATATCCACTGTAATTCATTACTTTTATATAATATATTTTCACTTTATACTAACTGTCTTCTGATTGGCTCGTCCCTAAATTAGAGTCTCGCCAATATGCATTTATTATCATGCTGGATCCTGTGATCATCGTTATTATTTATTTGAGACCCATTAATTTTGATTGATATTTTCTTTATACCTTATTATTGCTAAATTATTTCGTTACTACAGTTTGAATGAGTTTGAGTTTAACGCATTCTGAGAACATTGATTCTTCGATACATTGGGTTATATCCACATAATGTACACAAAATTGAAATTTAAGTAGAATAATAATATATTTGTACAAAGATAAATATTGATCAGAAATAGAGATCAATTATGTTCATAATCACTAATTTATCATTCATAATTTTCCTTTCATTACATTTTTCAAGGTATCAAATTGTATAAAGCTGTTTAACTGTTGGGACTATGCACTCGTTTGATCTTTATGTACACGTTATTTGGATAAACACAGCTGTCCTAAAAATATTGAACATTTGATCAACTTATACTATTTCACATTATAATACAATTTTATCACCAAATTGAAATTTGTAATTACCTATTTGTTTGTTTATTTTTTCTTCTCTATTTTGTTTGGATTGGCTTCTAATACTTTTGAAATCTTTAAAACGAATGAATTAATTGCACATCTCATTTTTTCACATTCAGTGAATGTGTCTAATTCTTGGAATGTCACTTCTTTTATGTTTTACATCTGTTAAAACGTATTATTACATTCCATTTATTTATTAGTTTTCTTTGTTTTTTTGCTTGTTTATTTATCTATTTATATAAATATGGAACATAATAACACATTGTTCAGTAGGATAAATGAATGATGATGGGCTTAGTACCTTCTGTCATTTGTTTAGATTACCTCATTATTATACGTTTAGTAGTGTGGATGCTACTTCTTTCTAGGTTATTTCCTCAATTGTGTATGGTATCCACACAAAAAAAGGGGAGTATATTGTAAACGTCTCTTTTTAATTCTCAATTTATTTTTTATTTAAATTGGATTAGGCTTTTATTATTATTAATGTTACTCCAATTGTCGATTTAATTTAATTATTACCTCATATAACTAGTTGAAATTTGTTATGTGGTCATTATTCGCACAATTATCTATCCAATTTGATTGTTTAATTGAGAATTGGAAGCCATATATACTAGGCGGTATTCTTACATTGAAAAACAAAACAATTATGTATGCATGTACAAATAGCTGAGCTTTTGTTTGTATTTTTTCATTTTCGTAATTAATCTCTCCTTATTATCATGATGTATCCTGTTTTGATTTCATTTTATTCATCTTTTTCACGTATATTATATAGTGCCTCAGAGTAATTGCAAATATACATATATGCATTGTAGAATGTTAATTACTTTCCTTAATTCTCATTTTATGTAAACACTTTCTTGTTTATCAGTGTTCTTTTAAAATGATGATGATAATGATAAAAATACATACACATAATATATATTCTCGCATAATATAGTCTCATTTAATTAACGTTGATGGTAGTGAAGTAAGTCATGAGCAGAAGTCATCATTTTCAATGGAAAATAGATATGTCTATAGTACAGCATTTATAAGAAGCAAACTAAGTTTAATACATTTCGAACAATCTGGTCACACATATACTTGTTAAGAGCATTTCCTGTCTAGTTGACCTTTTATTTTTATATATAAATGCTCTTAACAAGTATATGTGTGACCAGATTGTTCGAAATGTATTGCGCTAATATATCACATAGTTCTGATAATCTTCGTCTTCTAATATCATTATCGAAATTTATCAAAGGGACTAATTGTTTTAAACTAAGTTTAATTTTCTTGAACAGATAAATCACAAATGAACTATCTGTATCCTTAATGTTTTAGGCTTTTAGTAGTTGAATAAGAAATGTAGTTCATTGTAAAATTGAGTTATATAGCTTTATCTTGATTATGGATGTTGAATTAGTAGTCTTTATTTAATATTTAGAGCAATAAAATTTTATTTCATTGGAGTCCAATATCAAAAGTTTCTTATATTAGACAATAATATCTGACTATTCAAACCAATGACTAACAAAATTCACACGGAAATGATTCAAATTGAACATTTTGCCCATTGTAATAATGATATAAACTCTGGCTGTAGATCTTCTAGGGTTACTGCCGGTCCCAAGCCCGGGTAAAAGGAGAAGGGTTGGGGTTCACAACCCGTAGAAAACAGCATTGCCTAGGAAGCGTTAGCCAGAAAAAAAACTAATTAAACCATCTATACTCTAGCCTGGGAATCGAAGGGTCTTCATTTAAAAGAATTATGACGCCTCACGATGAAAGCCAAAATTCTTCGGAAATCATGAGGCCGACACCCGTCCAAACAACTAGAGAAGCATTTAGTATCGGTATATGGAATCTCCAAACAATGTAGGAGACTGAAAGGACCAGTCAAATAGCAACGGAAATGAGCAGATTCAACTTGGCGGTTCTCGGATTCAGTGAAACCCACGGAACCTAGGCTGGACAGCAAATATTAGATTCGAAAGAGATTTTGTTGTACTCTTGTCATGAAAAAAAGTGCTTAACACATACAGAGAGTCACTCTGATGCTATCCAAGGAAGCACGAAAAGCACTCATAGGATGGGAATCTCGTGGATCGAAGATCATAAAAGCATTATTTAAAACAAAGAAGGATGGAATCACAATGAATGTTATGCAGTGTTATGCACCTGTCAACGATAGCAATGAAAATGATAAAGATCAATTTTATTAGAAGCTCCAGTCGATCGTAGAGAATTGCCGAGGAAAGGGCCTGACCATCCTGATGAGAGACCTAAAATCAAATTCGGAATGGGCAATACCGACTATGAAGATATCACGAGCCGATATGGACTGACCGCGAGAAACGTACGAGAATGGCGAGAGATTCACAAATTTATGTGCATTCAACGATTTAGTTATATGCGGCACAATATTCCCACACAAACGCATACACAAATCTACATAAGTCTTATTGAACCACACTACCGAGAACCAGATAAATCATATTTGCATCACTAGGAAATTCAGAAGGTTAATGGAACAAGTGAGAACTAAGGGAGGGACTGACATAGTTTCAGATCACAACCTGATGGTTACCAAGATGAAAATGAAGTTGAGAAACACTGGACAGCTGGGTAAACAACATTACAGAGGTTCTATATAGCCCTCCTTCGAGATACTGAAAAACTCGGTGAATTCAAGATAGCTCTCAACAACAGGTTCCAAGCCTTACAAGATCTACTCAAGGAAGAAGAAACTACTATGAAGGACAACTAGAAAGAGATCAAAGAAGCACCAGCTTCAATGTGTCAGGAGGTTCTGAGCCGCAAGAAGCATTGTCATAAGGAATGAATTTCTATGGAAACCCTAGACACGATTCAAGAGAGGAAGTGTGAGGACCTGAGAAACATAATGAATGGTAATTTTGGGATCCTTTTATGGATCAATACTAAACGTATATTTTTATTGTATAATTATGATATAATTGAAAGAAAAATCAATTTTCAATTGATTTACTCATTATGAGTTTTATTCAACGTTGACATCTATTTTAGATTCAACGTGAGGATCATTCAGTGTAGTATTTGATTTGTTTTCCCAGTATGATATTTTCTTCTGTATAACATGTGATATTCTTGTATTCAATTGAAATGAACTATGCTCAGTAAGTGATTTATTATAACTGAGTATGTGATTTAATCCTAATTATTAATCAAAATGGGTGTACAATCAATATATAAACCAGTGTATTTTAGACTATTTTGATCATCGTCGTTGTCGTGTTTTGGGGCTTATAAATCATCACTTATACCAGTCTTGCGTTCTTACTTCACGCCGTGAGAATCCCAGGGATCCCTCGTTCCGAGTATAAGTGATCAGCGCTTTTTCCGGCACAACAATTGCGACGACCAAATACAACAGGAAGACAGCAATTAACAACAGCCGAACAAGAACGGGCAAAGTCAAGGCACAAGCTGAATACACAGAAACAAACAAGCAAGTGAAGGGCTTCACTAGAGCTGAGAAGCAGAAATACGTGGAAGACCCAGCAGCGACAGTGGAAAAAACTGCGACAGAAGGAAATGTGAAACAGCTATATGATACAACGAATAAACTGGCAGGGAAATATAGTAAACCAGATAAACCGGTCCAGGCATCGAGTAAGTAACGCAGTTGTTAGTAAACGGGTACTAGGTAAGGATGGCAAATCCATTGATGACGTGGTAAAACTTCATCAGTTGAGATGGCTGGGACACGTGTTACGTATGCCCAACGACCGACTGCCTCGATGTGCGATGTTTGTTGTATAGGAGTAGATTGGAAGAAAGCTAGGGGCGATCAGACCAAAACATGGCACAAGTCAATGAAGTCACTGACAAGTGGATTGAGTCATGGTGGTAGGTGTAGATTACCTGGTTGGGGACCGCGAGATGATATCAGCCGATGGTTAGGGACCTTGAATGACATGGCCCAAAATCGTTCACAATGACACTCACTCTTTGTGTTCTCCAAAATTCTAATCTTCTGAATTCTTCATGTCCCTTTCTTGTTTTCTCTTTCCACATTTATTTCACTGGATTATACTCCTTGAATAACATCTTCAAACTCTAATCTTTCCGATTACTGCTTATACTCTTACTTCCTCTACCACTAGGGGATTTGAATCAACAACTGCATCTCTGTGCTAATGTGGTGTGGCAAGTCGAACTGATGTACGTACGTACGTACGAGGTTCTACGTTGTTACTGACTGACTGTCTGACTGCTCCAGGACAAAGAAGACAAGCTAATCACTGAGATTCAAGAACAAAGGAACAGATGAGTGGGACAATTCGAGTAACCCTCAAATAGACCAGCTCCGTCGAATCCACCGGATATCGAAGTAGCACCTAAAGAGCTTCCTATAGATATCACTGCATCAACGATCGGAGAGATCAGGATGGCCATCAGACAAATGAAGAGTGGGAAGGCAGCAGAACCTGACAATATACCAGATGAAGCGCTGAGGTCAGACATAGAAGTAACCGCAGACATGCCCACATTCCATTCAGGAAGATTTTGGTGGAAGAACAAGTGCCGACAGACTGGAAAGAAGGACACTTCACCAACATACCAAAGAAAGGAGATCTGAGTAAGTGTGAGAACTCAACTACAGAGGCAACACACTATTATCGGTACCAGGAAGTGTCCAACAGTGTTGCTGAACCAGATGAAAGATTCAGTTGACGTCCAGCTTCGAGATCAGTAGGCTAAATTCCGTGAGGATCGGTTGTGCACAGACTAAATCGCGACATTAGGTATGATCGTCGAACAATCATTTGGATGGAACTTATGATTATACGTCAACTTCTTTAACTACGAGAAGGCGTCTGACAGTGTGGATAGAACATTATGAAACTTCTTTGACACCACGGAGTACTTGAGAAAGTCGTCATCGTCATACATAATTAATAAGATGCACTACTCTGCATAGTCGTGTGGAGAACTAATACAACCATCATCAAAATGGTACAAGTAGTTATAAAAAATTGTCGACGAAAGATACTCAATGTCCGTTGGCCGGAAACCATCAGCAACAGCCTAATGTGGGAGAGAACAAATCAGCTGCCAGCTGAAGAGGAAATTAGGAGAAGACGTTGGAAGTGGATAGGACATACATTATTGAAATCACCAAGCTGTATCACGAGGCAAGCTTTAGCTTGGAATCCTGAAGGAAAACGGAAAACAGGAAGACCGAAGAACACATTACGTCAGGAATCGGAAGTAGGCATGAAACTCCGCCTGTAGCTCTTCTAGAGTTACTGCCGGTCCCAAGCCCGAGTAAAGGAGTAGGGTTGGGCATAGGGTTAGCGACACCATCCTGTAGAAAACTAACTCTAAAGAAACGCTAACCAGAAAAAAATAATGAGAAGGATGAATAGCAATTGGAAATAATTGTCCAAAGCAGAGTTCGATAGAGGATGCTAGTGGGCGACCTATACTCCTCCAGGTGGGATAACAGGCCTGAGTAATAAAGTAATAACGATATATTTGGACTTGATAACTAAAACTTAATGAGGAAGTCATTAGAAACAATTGTTCTTTCTGATGTTTTTCGCTCATGAATAACTATTTAAGTATGATTTTTTTTATAATTCATCGATGGAGAAAGTATCTTTCGAAGATATCAAACTATTTAATGGTTTTTTTTTAATAAATTGAAATTCTGTTGAAAAGTAAACAATGAGTGTACAGAACAACTTCAGAAGTAAAACTTCAGTTATTAGATTCATCTTGCCTTTCCTCTTCATGGACTTTAGCTGCAGCATTTGCACGTAAAACATCACCAGGATTAGGGTATGGACGTTGTTGAAATAATGGTCCCGATGCAGTGCTATCTACACCTGTCTTAGCCGATGGTGCTCCAGTAACCCCTTCTAAGCCTGAACTCCATGTTCCACGTGGTATATCACCATAAGACGCTGGATCCATTGGGTCTAAGGGTCCGAGAGTTGCTGCGCGACCTTCAAGGAAGCATAAGAAAAAGTAATTAAATATGACAGAAAACGAGGTCTGTTAGTATCCTATCTCGACACTTCTGCGCTAAAGTAATGACGATCTACAGTTTCGATTAGACATTTTATAACGAAAGCTTTAGTCAAACTGCATGGATTGAAGACTTTGCAACTCGGTAAGAAAATCTGAACTAAATTATAAATATTGGTGAATACATTTAAATTAATAAAGAATAAGCTATTACACTAAACCTTAATGTTTTAAATGTGTATATGTACCTCAAATAGGGATTGCTATACACAAGCAAAGGCAGTAAAAATTATCAAGGCAATGAATTAAAAACTATATTGTCGACGCAGTCCAAAGATAGAAAATAGTTCTAGTGCTACTTTGACCGATTAGGAAGATCTACTTAGAATCTCAAACTGTAGATTAAGACTAGTTCGAAAACCCCAGTCAGGAAATTTGCACCCTACACGAATTAGATCAACAATCAGTGACTATAGGTTGATTATACGTTCCGGCCTGGCCATCACTAGCTTCTCAACTTCTATGTTAGTCAGATGAATTATTGTTACACCCCCCCCCTCTGAACACTAATGGGACGCTTGACTTCCTAGGACGAATAACAACGATACTGTAATATATAGGATTGGCATGCAATACTATAAAACGTACCCAGAGATTAATCTACCTCACGTCCACTCAGCTCAGACTAAGAACATGTTATCAGCCTGGCTAACACATATTATTATGAAAAATACACGTGATAGGAAAAATACACATTACAAGTCGCATATGTTTGACTATCTACCCATCTTTCCGTGAGCTCAGCTAATTGCCTTCAAGTTCCACCTACACAAAACCGGTATAAGACGTCAATGTCGCAAATTGCTAAGGATTTGTAACACATTCGAATCACGTTAGTCGGCAAAGGTTTACAATCTCATATATAGCCAGTACTCTTTGCTTGCTCCAATATTAATAACTCTGTAAGGTCAACATACTCAAGTAACGCCTTGAACTCATCTTGTTTTTCTCTAAGGTTACAACAATAAATACACATTAGTGTAGAGCCTTGAAGAAAAACTAATCAAAAAGGAATGCTTTTTCGCTCTCTAATAAATGTCCAAATGGAAATTTTCACTGTTATTTATTTGTATTTCATCTTAAGCATTGTGTTATTCGGTATTATTGTTCTGTAGATTTACTTGTTTTTGTCGGTTGTATTTCACCAACTAATGTTATGATATCTGGTATTTCTGAGCTGCTATTTTGTCTTGTTGATTTTCTTGTAACGTGTTAGAACGAAGCATGGTAACTAGAATCTACACATGCTTGTAACAAACCCTGTGATCTTTATTTTAAAAATACTGGATAACTGTTACTATTTAAATAATAAAGCCGAGTCTACTTCATGGAAGTAATAATAATAATGAAATACTTCTAAAAATATTGTATAAATCCACTTACGTTTCCTATCCCTATCTCTATATCTAAAACGATTATTATCAGATGTCTCTGCTGGTTGATTCCAACCGCGTGTAGTAGTACCACTAGCGTGATCATCAGAGTGATTTTTAACTTGTGATGGAAACAATGAAGATGATTCAGATGGTCGGTTCCATTGGGTTGGAGGATAGATTAGATGAGCTGGTGGTGGTGGGGGAGGGGGAGGAGGAGGAAATGTAGGAGGTGGTGGATACTCATCTCTAGAGTTTTGTAAGTTAGATTCCATTTCAATATTTTGGTTATGACTGTTGTTATAATAATTTTCAGTTAAAGGAACTCCATCGGGTGATTCTTCATCTTCATCAACTTCATCCTCTAATTGATTGTACTCGTTAAAATTAGCTGTATCAGATAGTTTTTGTGTTACAGCCTCATGTTCGTTAGTTGATTGGTTGAAATCATTATAATCATTGGATACACTTCTCTGGTGATTATTTTCTGATTCAGCATCCTGCCAGCGAGATGAATTATTTCGTCTAAACAAGGCTCTATTAGTATCATGTTCAGGAGATCTAGATGTTTCACGTCTAGATCGTTTAGATTCTTTTATTTCATCAGAATCATTATCTTCACTCTCGCTGCCTGATCGATTACTGCCGGAATCACTAGATCTACGCCGTGAATCTTTTCGTTCTGCTGCTAAAACTGCAGCAGTAGCAGCTTCAGCTGCAGCTCGAGCTGCGTCACGTTCACGTAACGTATTGGCCCGAACAATACTACCAGGTTGACTGATTTTAGCACGCGGATGTAACGGAGACAACCAGCATACATCATCTGTTTTAGTATTCCAGTAATAAAATCTGTAAAAGAGAAAAATACGTCGTCATACATCAAGGACAATATTACCTGATGATGGAAAAAAAAGAGAATTACAGATTAATCAATGACACTATGGGTTATTTTAATTATCAATAAAAATAAATTACATTAGTTTAGGTAAGTTTTTGTCAACGCTTACACTTATGAAATTCTTAAAGAATTATTAGCGTTAAGGAGAGCTCGTTTCTAGTTGTAAACTTATTTTTTAAACCTTTCTAACTATATTGTTACGTCAACGTTGTTAGCGTAAACCATGCGAAACTAAAGATTGGTATAAGGGTTAGTTCAGTCCATTACACGTTAACTTAACTGAAGTCTATTAAATGAAATGTCTCCTCTAAAAACCTAACAACATTAGAATTTTCAATTACAGGCCAGTATAAATCACCGAAATTACGTGATACATAGCACTGTAATAAGCATAATAAAAATGTCTCAAGTTTAACAATAATAATATCTATCCATTAAAGAATCATATCAAAAACGCTTAATTATTTCAATAATGGAAGGTTTTTCATTGTGAAAGCATATTGGCTGAAAGACTATCGAAAATCATGAAGCAATAAAGTTCTGTTTTGTCCTAGACCGGGACCCTCTGGCAATGCTTAATCTTGACCACCCATAGGATGGAAATCAGAATTTTCAAGTCTTACAGCCGGTACATTTTAAGACCAGCGTTAAGGATTAATTTCGTCATGGTAAAGTAATAACGAACCAGATAATACATGTTGGACTTACCTTCCAGTCACTGGATCACCAACTTCAATCCAATGGCTTGGGAGTGGATAACGACGTAGCATTCTGCTTTTCAAACGAATGTTTGTTAGATCAGGGTTGAACTTTCTTCGCCCGTATCGTTCATAACAATATGGTGAACAAACATGATACGGATTAGCTTGACTAGGGCACTCAGCACATTCATGGATTAAAACCCCATTCTCGATAATAGGTACAGGACTGACCGTGTAACATTTCTTAACGTTAAAAGGCTGATCAAACGATACTGGTAACACTGGTTCACTTTCTTCATCATAATTCTCAGCAAAAACTTCCTCCACAGCTAAATTCCAGTCAGTGGCTATATTTAAACCTACCTTCTTCCTGTGGACCGGCGGAAACAATACCACGTTTTTTAAGTCGAGCAAGAAGGGCTGGTGGAAGAGGCATATTGGTATAAAGCTATTCTAAAAGCCAGAACACGTGTAGATGAAACAATACTAAAATAGGAACTAAATAGTTTGAATTATTAAAAAAGAATTATTAGCAATATCATAATGATGAATACCATACACGTGGTCTTACAAGCAAGATGTTACATTCACCTTATATGCGATAACTAATGATGGATATTTGGAACATATGAAAAGCTGATGTCCTCCTTTAAAGTGTAGTTTCAGGTCGATGGGCGTAGCTTAGTGGCTGATCAAACTGATTTGCCAGCATCCTATCAGAAGTTTGAATCCCGCTTCAACTATTTTTTCTAGGTTAATCGAGTGGAAATATTAGCTCTCGAATATGTGCAAAACTCCAGTTGATTATCGAGATACACTTTCATGAAGAGTTGTTTTTAAAGCTATCAAACGGCTTTTGCTTGGCGCTTGCCACTTTTACCACTTTTATTTAAATAATAAGGAATGTGACCCTAATTAACTCCTACTTTTCTGAAATTTCTTGCTTCTGAGTTCCGAAATTGTGGATGAGATACATAACACACTGAATCTTACTAACCAATGATGATGAAGAACTCAGTATCCTTAAAGACAACAAACAGCTTGAGCTGGAACTCAAGAATATACGGCTCCTCAACAGAAAATTGTCGTAGGTGACGAGTATGGAATTATGATCCAATCAACCAAGAAAAGGAAAATGATGGCGAACAAAGTGGAAATAAAGGGGAAAATACGTTGGAAAACAAAAGGGGAAATAATGGGGAAACGCGCCAAAATGTCTGCTTTTTCGTCTGTCTGGGGGAATTAATGCGGATAATCCCCTTTACATCCCTCTGTGTTTCGAATGTCGCTGAATTGTCTCCTCTTCTCCTAAATATACGCTGAATTGTCTACTTTTCGCCTAAACATGCACCGATTTATCTTATTTTGCTTCCACTTTTAAAAAACTTTTGGCATAACCCCGAACGTCTCTTGTGTTCGTCTTTATTTCCACAACACACCACACGAAAACTGCCATCCACGTAAAAAATGGTATATGTTTAAAGAAATTTATTGAAAAGAAAAAAACGTAATATTGTACAACATTATGAGTGGTCGGCAGATGCTGGAGTATCAGTCGTCATGCACTTTAATTGTAACTGCCAAGTCTTATTGTAATTTGAAAAGATCTACAAAAAGGACCGTTGATGTATTATTAGACACGTGTACTTAATTGCAAGTACATTTAAAATCAAACAGGCTTTCTCAACACTTAGTCAAAGAGTTTCTCATGCAAGTAAGAAAGTAAGCGCATGTTTAAAGAAACGTTTATTGAGAACGAAGTTGAACATGATAAATATTCCACTGGTTATTTCCTTTCGTAACGCCTACTCGACTATTGAGAATCAAAATAATCTTTTTGTAAATTCCGAAATATAAGGAATAAAAAGTTACAACGATATCAGAAGTGCAGGTTTTACGGCTACATACGAGGTAGGATACGTTTCCTTTAAACTTTAGGTGCATTAACTAATCGGTTCCTGTCATCACTTGTCAACCAAAAAGACCTTGCGAAACTGTATGACAGCACAACGCAAGGTTATTTTCACGACGTGAGAGACAAATTACAAAAGCGTCATTGAAGAAATCAAGAACATGTATGTACTAACTTAAAGTGATAACTATTCTCTGCTGCTCTATAGGTACAGTCTTCAGTGTTAACGGGCATAACCATAAACGAAACTTCAAGTAGCTAGGTATGCAAAAAAATGTCATCTAGATATCATTGTAACCTTTTATTCCTCATATTTCGGAATTTACAAAAAGATTATTTTGATTCTCAATAGTCGAGTAGGCGTTACGAAAGGAAATAACCAGTGGAATATTTATCATGTTCAACTTCGTTCTCAATAAACGTTTCTTTAAACATGCGCTTACTTTCTTACTTGCATGAGAAACTCTTTGACTAAGTGTTGAGAAAGCCTGTTTGATTTTAAATGTACTTGCAATTAAGTACACGTGTCTAATAATACATCAACGGTCCTTTTTGTAGATCTTTTCAAATTACAATAAGACTTGGCAGTTACAATTAAAGTGCATGACGACTGATACTCCAGCATCTGCCGACCACTCATAATGTTGTACAATATTACGTTTTTTTCTTTTCAATAAATTTCTTTAAACATATACCATTTTTTACGTGGATGGCAGTTTTCGTGTGGTGTGTTGTGGAAATAAAGACGAACACAAGAGACGTTCGGGGTTATGCCAAAAGTTTTTTAAAAGTGGAAGCAAAATAAGATAAATCGGTGCATGTTTAGGCGAAAAGTAGACAATTCAGCGTATATTTAGGAGAAGAGGAGACAATTCAGCGACATTCGAAACACAGAGGGATGTAAAGGGGATTATCCGCATTAATTCCCCCAGACAGACGAAAAAGCAGACATTTTGGCGCGTTTCCCCATTATTTCCCCTTTTGTTTTCCAACGCATTTTCCCCTTTGTTCGAAATCATTCCCCCATTATTCGTTGATTGGGTTTCAGTAAATATAACTTTTGAAGCCAGTCATATAAAAATTCAAAGCAAATTTTTAAATTCTGAATATTCTTAGTATAACACATAACCCAAATACCAAGCAAAAACACACTAAGATAAGAATTAATCGCTCTAACCTTGAAGTAGAGATTAGATGAGAATAGCCCGCTTAAATCCAATATCCTTGGTACGAGACTTTATAAAGTGGTTGATTTCTTTACGTTCTTTTCGTGTTTTTGTTTTGCATGGTTCCAGGTTTTCAGCAATTTCTTACGGGTGTTGGTCTAGTCACTCGATTGCTCTAATCTTAGTCAGTGTAGCGGTAAATATAACCCTAAAATAAATAGTTCATTAAGTCTTCAACGTTGATGCCGATCTCCAGATCACAGTTGAGTACCTGCCGCTACGTACTGCTCGCAACAGCTAGCTAGGTTAGATAAAACACTTCTCGTCATATCGAATGTCTCTTAAATGTTATCCTTGAACTCCTGCATTTCTAACTTATGTTCTGACTATGTTTGGAATCCCTAGACTATCAAGATGTTACGGACAAGAGCGTTGTCAATTTACATGGCATCTTTAGTAGTGAACTTGACGTGTACTGATACGCCAAACTATAAACTGAGTCTGTTCTATGACGTAATATTATTCATATATTTTCCACACTTTGTGGTATTATTTTTGTGTTCTTGGGTTTTATCTCTATTGCTTATGAATACACCCAAACTGTTCTAGCGAGGTAAGAAAACTATGCGACAAACAATGGGAAATCAGAAACATGTTCTTTCAGTTATATCTGAAAACTGCTAACTGAAACATGGATATCGCACAGCATCAAGGATAGGGAAGTTAGATTGAAGTACATTATACTTTTCCGATACGATGGGGTTGTCTGACTGTGGTTCAGGTCGGTATTAAGTGCATTTATCATTTCTGCTAGAATAAAAGACGTGTTCATCGATTGTGAATCTGCAATGATGTCACTGTCTAAGTTATCAAAACTTACGTAGTAGCCACTTCATTATGGACAACGACTCGTTCTATTGTGACGGTCAGTGGTTACCGCTTAGGACTTCCGAAGAATATATCTGGACCACCAAGAGAATAATACATTCAAAATTAAAAGCGGAGGGTTACATAGGGCGACCACACCCATACCTTTGTGTCATGCCACAATGGTTAAGTGTTCCGCATTCACCATTTCCAACCTTCTCTAAGTCACAAACGTTAAATTGTGTGATTGAGAACCAATACCACTACAAACCAACCGACTGACTAAGGTTAGACTAGCCCTTCCTTAATACCAAATTGCAACACGGCTCACAATATAAATGTTGTCAAGCGTGCGAGAGGTCGTTAGTCAACGAATTTTCTTCCAGAGGTCCTTCAGACAATCCTTTTTATCTAAGCTTTCCCAACAGGCACTATCCGTTCGCTCATTGAGAACTAATACCACCCGTGGGTACACAACGTGGAGTTGGTTTGAGAATATACATACACAGTCATATGAAAGCTGGTGTTGCTTTAATGTGCTCGGTGGAATATTGTGGCCCTCCATAGGTTCTAACACCAAAAAGATAAAATGTTACAGATTATGTTAAAGTCACCACTCATAGGGTTCAACCAAATACTGGTGGCCAGAGATTTCAGAACTTCATAACTGAAGTGGGTTACAACTCCAGTAATGGATAAGAACACCAGTGGGGACAATCGAATGTACTTAACACAAAATTACAGGACTTGTTAATAAAATCTAACAATCATAAAGTAAATGCTTAATTTGCAAAATGTCAACTAATTGTCTCAAAATGACTCAGACTTCATTGTTCTTGCATTTTCATACGAATTGCATTCTGTTTCCATTCTTTACTGTTCGATCCTCTTGTCTCTCTGCTTCTAGACCTTCCGTTCCTGACTAACATCATATACTACTTATGTCGATATAAGTAGCACACACCACACTCCTAAAAAGTGGTTCCACGGCCATCAAATGTTCAGGATTGACTGAATATTTGTGGCGCCAAGGAATAGAACAGGCATGGAAAACCCTTAAATTTAAATTGTTTGAGGATAAATGTTAAGCCTCTTGTTGCGAAGGTCAATGCCAACTCACCAATAGGGAGTAATGACTATGTACTTACGATCTCGCCTGGTAGCACATCAAGTATACACTCAAGCATTTTTCAATTTTGATGCTCAGGGAGATTGTCCAACACCTTGAGATATCTAGTTGTGGACATTTACAGAGAAGCCAGTACTGTCAATGAGCGCGATAATCGTATACTTCAGGCGTTATCCGGCTCTATTCGTCATGGGCACACTCACACCCCGAATTTAGGAAACTTTAATCTTTCTGAAGCCAACTTCATTGCACACACGTTCATTGAAAGTGACAACTCTACTAAAGGTCATTTTTTCCAACTTCATCGAAGATTTTTGATTATTCGAAGAAGTGGAATTGGCAACTCTGTGGAGAAACAGTCGGATACCTTCATGCTTAGACTGCGTCTCCATCAACGAAAAATCTCTGATTGGCAACCTCTTAATACTGGCTCTCGTGCGAACGAGCAATTACACTTCCATAGCCTTCAATCTTGCCAACAAAACTGTACTAAAACATCTCACCAACGGCAGGCGCTTGAAGTTCAAACGTTTGGACGTGTCAGCCTAACAGGAAAATCTACGGCAGTTGGAACGGGAAGTTCTCTCTCAACTTAAGGCGAACACCCATTGGGATTTTTACTGAGCACGGTTTTACGAAACTAGAACCAGCCCGTCTCATTAGTGTTCTCTAAAAGTCACAAGCAACATGCAGTCATGAAGAATCACAATCTTCAAATGCTAAGACCCAAAATCTACCACTGGGTAAAATACAACCGAACTAATAACAACAACCCGTACATGCAGTTCAAACAGGCAAGAAACTGAGGCGATAGGTAAAGACAGGCCTCAGTGTCAGGTCAAGCCAAAAGTTAAATGTGTCTCTGATCCAAAAAGCTCACTCTGGCGTGCACCCTCTCTTCGACAAGCTGAATCCAAAATATTCCAGTCGTTAGGTCCTAGTGGCCTGATCAACAAAAATGTTGATACATTTGAGCTCCTCACAGAGCAGTATTTTTAAACATTCCAACCGCTACAAATTACATCGACAAGAGCGTCGCCTCCAACTCAACAGGATCCTTAGGAATGATCTTGATCTCTGACTTAATGTGCCAAATACTGATACGTCTAGACAGCGACACCTCAAATGGCCCTGGAATGATTCACTGTTCTATATTAGGAGGAGTGGCTTCAATTTTAACACAGCTTTGTGGGATGTCGTTGCATTCGCCAAATCACGCCACGATGCTAGACAATTAGAGGCTGACTCACACTACGCCGATTTTCAAGGGAGGCTGACGCAGAGAACCTGCAAGTTACCGACCGTTATCACTTCTCCTAGTACCCTAAAACTTACGTTGCACTTAATATGCGATGATCTACATGACTACTTAATATCCGCAAACTTCTTTTAACCCGATCAGCATGGTCCCAAGAAGTGTCATTCTTGCATAATCAGCCTGATGACTGCAGTGGGCAGATGGACAGGCAATCTTTGTCGCAAGAGAAAGGTTGGTGTTATATACATTGACTTATCAGAAGCGTTTGATGAAGTCACCCATATATACCTCGTCTATAAGCTGTAACGGCTAGTTATCCGGCCATCGTTAACAAACTGGTTTACTTAAGATCTAAATAATCGACATTTAGGGTCAGGACGAACTTCATGTTCTCTCAGTCTACAGAGTGTTTTAGTGAGGTTCCTCGAGGCTCAGTACCGGGATCTCCGCTTCTCTTAATTTATACAAATGACCTCCATCAACAAGCATCGTCCGATTTCTTGCTTTCCATTGACTATATAAACATTTGGTGAGACTTTTGTTACTAAAATGATAAACTGACACTCCACGAGGATCCGTCTCGGCCTCAAATTTGTGCGAAAATCTAGGGACTCACTTTCGATACTTCAAAATATAAAGTTGTCCATGTTGTAAATTATATACACAACGTTGGTAACTCCCCTCTAGAGGCATACCCGGTTGACAATGATCTAGGAGTTTTGGTGCACTATGATTAAATATCTTAAGCTAACTTCTACAAAAATGCCCTCCGAACAAATTGTGCACTCGGAACGTTGAGGCGCACTTTTGGCCAGTTCTACAGTAGTACTTTCGAGTAAATGTTTGACAGTTTTCTCTCCACGCCACTTACAGTATGAAATAAAAGTGTTTCTTCCTTCACTCCGAAAAGACAAAAATACTGTGGAATTTATCTAAAGTTGAGCCACGTTCGAGGACTCAAATTTAAACCCTATGAAAAACGTCGTAAATCACTGGATCCTTACCTAAAAGAGTATAGGCGTCGCAGAAGTGACTTATTTACCACTCCTAAACATACCCCTATACACCTACTTAACATCAATTCCAGCACAGACTTCAAGGCTAACACCCAGAAATTTGAGACAGCATAGCAGGACGGATTGTAGGCACACATTTTACTATGTGTGTAGTGGAATTCCGCGACTCGCTGCCTGCTAAAGTAGTCCAAGAGACGTCTCAGGATTCCTTTAAGAGAAAACGTGATAGATTATCAAGAACTCAGGACATTATGCTAGCACAATTTCCCAATATTTTTCTTTTTATAGCCAACCAAACTGGTGCCTAGTAATGTAATAGATTAAAGCATCCGTGATTCCTACCACCCTGAGACAAAAGTTCTCACTCCAACTACATGATATATTAATCTACAAGTATCTACCAAACTGACCATAATTGGTTCAGTTGAATGGCCGTTTGGATATTAAAAGATACACAGAACTGTGTCGGAACAGAAATCAATCGGTTTATACAAGCTCGTGACAAAGATATTAGCATCAAGGTTACTTTGTGTAACATTTACTAACACTACCGACTTATAGATTATCCCACTAGTTAGTTACTTACTGAACTCAGATGGGAATGTAAGAATACTGCCTGACATACCGTATTCTGAGAGCAATCACATCAGGAACACATCTAAGGAATCTCTCATGGAGTTTTTCCGTGGAAGAAATATCATTCTTCATGGTGTACCAAAAAAACGAACCCTGACCACACGAACTCTGATATTGGGGAATAGAAATTCATTGAACAATCGCTGAAGGTCAAAAACATATTGATTCAACAATTGATGAGACTCTCCAAAAAGGACAGAGATTCTAGACCCCGGTTGATGAAGATATTTCGTGCCTGTATGTAACCCTCGTGCTATTGATAGAAGAAACCAGACTAGTGGTAAATAGGTCTTTATTTAGACCTTCGCTCAATCACAGTTGAGTGTGGGATTATTTGTTCAGACAAACAAAGCCTCGAAACATTCAATATAAGATAATAGGAAATATAACGCCTATACAAAATAAGGAAGTGAATGAATACTTGAACTCTCCGACATTTCAACTGACCCACATTAACTATATTGATGAACGCTTCATCTGCAACTGCACAGTACTTTCGGAAATGAGCCTGAGCTCTGACTTGGTGTACTGGAAACCGCAGCACCCAAGAAAAGACAATTCTGGCCTGGATATGGTTCATTCTGCCATACTAAGGGAAATAACTTCAATCCTGGCAACACATTACCAGAAATTTGGAAGCTGGCTCACGTCACACCAATTTTCAAAGGGGGTGGACGTAGCGAACATTTAAGCTACTGACCAGTGACCCTTCTCCCTACACCTTCAAAAATCATGGTGTCCCTGATATGCGACGGTATACACGACTATTTATTGTCCTTAAACTTCTTTCCACTCCATCAGCACGGTTTCAGGAAGGGTATAATTAACCAGTTGACTGCGGTGGACAGATAGACAACCATCTTTGATCGCAATGGGAAGGTTGACGTCATTTAACTTGACTTCTTAAAAGCTTTTGATAGGGTCAACCGCATATGTCTTATCAATAAGCTCGGACGACTAGGTGTCTAATCGCCCTTAATTGATTGGCTCACTTCATATCTAAAAAAATGGACATTTTAAGGTCAGGGTTATCTTCACTCTCTCGGGCTATGAAAAGTCCTGATGGGGGCACCAATGTTCAGTAATGAAACCTCTTCTATTCTTGATTTATATAAACGATCTTCATCAGCAGGTGTTGCCAGATTTATTACTTCTTATTGATGATGTGAAACTTTGGAGATAGACATGCAACCATGAGGATGTAGTGGTACTTCAGGAGGATCTGGCTCGACTTTAAATCTTGGCAGATGAAAATGGACTTACCTTTGACGCTTCAAAGTATAAAGTAATCCATCTGAAACATGTTGCAGACTACAGTTGCAACTTAGAAAACTCCTCTTTAGAAGTAGCCCATGTTGAAAAGGATTTAGCAGTGTTTGTACCCTATGATTTGAAGTCTTACGCTAAATGTGACAAAAATGCCTTTCGAGCGAACCTTGCACTGGTAACATTGAAGCGCATTTTTGGCCAGTTTGACGGAAGAAATTTCCACATATTCTTCAACACTTCTATTCGTCTCCATTTAGAGTACGGAAACGTCATGTTTCCTCCTTCATTCTAAAAGTATAAGGACGCTCTGGGACGAATCCAACGGCGAGCCACGAAATCAGTTCGGGGACCCAAACTCAAGCCTTATGAAGTGCGCCTTCAATCACTGAACCTTTGCCTATTAGAGTACAGACGTCCCAGAGGTGACCATCTAATGGCTTCCAGCATCCTTAACACTTATGGACATCCCCTTAAACATCTACTTAAGTTTAGCTCAAACACAAACCTAAGGGTTAACACCCAGAAACTGGAGAAACAACACAGTAGAACGGACTATGGACACAGTTCCTACTCCTTAAGAGTTGTCAAATGGTGGAATTCGCTGTCGGCTGAGCTAGTCCAAGCTAATTCCCGGGAGTCCTTTAAGAGGAAACTTGACCTGTTGTCAAGGACTAAGGATAATATTTTACTATGATTTACCAGTTTATTTTTCCTCTTTCACCGTTAATATACCTAGGTTCCTGCCTGGAGGTATTGGTGATCCACGGCTACCAGACACGGAAGCCCGATAAGCGAAAGCTTCTTCTATTCTGTCCACAACCATTTGAACCATTTGATATTGTTAACTGACTGACGCGGAATACACTTGTCATTGACCTTGACATCTGTATTACTGTATTTTGATTCTTGCGTTTCGAGTTTTAGGCTGCATATTTCCCATATATTCAGCTTGACGCCTTCGTGTTTCCAGCACTCAAAGAAGAAACTATTGCATATTGAAGTTCATTATGTGGAAGTCCCTGACTTTCTCGCTATCATCAGCCTTCAGTCTCGTAAGTCAGTTATACTAACTGTGATAAGAATTCATGTTAACACACTGGATATGTAATAGAATTCTATCACTAACCATTTGCATTTTCTGACGCAACTTTAGTTAATATTCCTATTTCGGCCTATGTGCGGAACTCTCGGAAGTTCCGCACCACTGTCTTCATACTCTGATTTAAACTTTTAGTAGTAAGACGAAAATATAGCCTAAAATAATTTTTGATTTTTGTAGCGGATTTTCTCACACATCCCCAAGCTGAAAGATTCATGCTTGTCAGTAATAAAGAAAGGTTAACTGAATGAATGTACATGAGTCTACACCAGCTAAACAAATCTACCTGGTCTGTTTATTGATCAGAATGTCTATTAAAGGTGGTTGGTATAGAATATAGTTCTGTTAGAAAGTCTCGTTGCTCTTTTAGTCACATTTTTTAACGTACATCTTCCGTAGATCTTTTCCAACAACTCTAGTTCAAGCACATTACATGAATTCCTTGCACTGTTTTATCCTTTCAGACCCAATGGGTCACGACTGGCCCTTTGTAAGTCTTTACTTAGGTAGAAAACCATGGAACTGGTTTTAAAAAATTGATTTCATCAATGTGATACTATGATTTTTGTACTCATACATTTTGGTTTTTAAGGTGATGTGGTCATACTATATCTAAATTCAATTTTTGTAGAAAGCCCCATGCATGTGCGCCCCCAAATGCCCTGGTACGGCCGAGAGTGGGGAGAGTTCGCTCTCCCTCTCGAAATGCTCTCACATGGCCACGCTTATATAGCCTCTGCCAGGGAAGTCCTACTCACTGTCTTCTCGTGGCGGGGGTGTTGTTTACGAAATTGAGAGGACAAAAGGCGAACGTCCGGCGCTTTACCCGGGTTGGTAGACATGGAGGGTCCACTTACGGGGTTGGAAAACCACAATTCCAAACCAATGGTGTACATAGGCTTCAGCAACCTGAAGGAACAGATGGCGTAGGAACCAATGGTTGGTCACCGGCTACCATGGGAACGCATATCCTTACGTTGCTCCACTGCCTTGTGGATTAGACCTTCAGGTCGAAGGTTCGGGGTGTGGCCCCCTAAGAAAACCACCTGCTTCGGTTTGGGCACCTGGGCAGTATCACAGCCCTTACATATATCAAATGAGATCTGTGTGGTGCATATGTATTTGCTTCCTCCTTGTACTAATATCTATGTGTTAAAATAAAAAGCTATGCGTGTGCGCACCTTCGAAGAAATTCCTGAACGTGCATAATTTTTGTTCCAATGCATTACAATTGTTTAATAGTGGTGCTTTGGATCTCGATAATCATGTAAAGACGTCCCATATACTCTAGGTTCTATGTAGTGTTTTTTCATCTTTGTAATGCAGGTTCGTTGCGCTTCAACTGCAGCGGAATCAGCTCCACTTATGAAGACCTTTTCCATTTACAGATGGGTAAGTTCTGTTGTTTCATTAGTTTATTATGTTTTGGATTAGGGGTTAAAATGAAACTCCACGGTCACAACTGTTCTTGCTTTTATTGAGATACTTAGTATCCGAGGTCTGATAACTTCGTTTCCTCCCAATATTTATTTCGTTTCATGGCATAATTTAACACTAAATCTTTGACAAGCGTTTTTATGTTTTATCATTTACCTTAAAGTATCCTGGATACTACTTCCTTACTTACGCCTGTTACCACACCTGGAGGAGCATAGGCTACCCACTAGCATCCTCTATCGAACTCTGTTTTGGACAATTATTTCCAGTTGCTATTCACCCTTTTCATGCCTACTTTCAATTCCCGACGTAATGTGTTCTTCGGTCTTCCTCTTTTCCGTCTCCCTTCAGGATTCCAAGTTAAAGCTTGCCTCGTGATTCAGCTTGGTGATGTCCGTAATGTATGTCCTATCCACTTCCAACGTCTCCTAATTTCCTCTTCAGCTGGCAGCTGATTTGTTCTCTCTAACATTAGGCTGTTGCTGATGGTTTCCGGCCAACGGACATTGAGTATCTTTCGTCGACAATTTTTTATAACTACTTGTACCATTTTGATGATGCTTGTAGTGGTTCTCTAAGTTTCAGCTCCGTACAGTAGAACTGTCTTGGCATTCGCATTGAAGATTCTTACTTTGATATAGATTAACAGTTGTTTTGAGTCCCGTATGTCATCCTTGTTTATCGATTATGCTTTCCAGGCACATGAAAGATTTCACACCTTCCAGAGCTTCTCCATCAAGTGAGATTGGGTTGGTGTTCTCCGTGTTGTATTCGGGTATCTGACTTTCTCCTTTGTGTATGTTGAGGCCTACTGATGCAGACTGCTGCTATACTGTTTGTCTTGACCCGCATTCGTTGGTGTTTATAGGATAGAAGGGTCAGGTCATCTGCGACTGGATACAACAGAATGGGATAATATTGGTCTCCACATACCTTGCATTTAAAACTTCTAATACTAGCAAACAAAAGGGCAAATAGTTGGAGGAAAGGTGTATGTGAAAGCAAACTGAGTTGGAGAAAAGTTATACTATTAAATCAACCGTTTAGAGAATGATAAGCGTCCCACATCTGTAGCGTGATATGGCCGTGATTCATAGTTGAGTTCCCGTGGCTATTAAAGTTCGTGAAGCTGACAATGTCAGCATCGATGTGGAATGTTTGGAAAGCTGTTTGAGTGGGAGCGAGTATTTAACACAACTTGTCTTTGTGAATTGAAGAATCACGATCTGTATAGAGAGTTTGACCTTATGATTTTTTCGCAACAAAATTTTCATGGATACTTTCCAAAGTACTTATCACCATTTCTTTTTTTTCACACAGAACCCAGATAAACGTGGCGAAAAACCCACTATGCAAAATTATCAAGTCGATCTTAATGATTGCGGACCCATGGTCTTGGATGCTTTAATCAAGATAAAGAATGAACAGGATCCTACTCTGACATTTCGACGTTCTTGCCGTGAGGGCATATGTGGTTCTTGTGCAATGAATATAGAGGGTCGTAATCACCTTGCCTGTATATGGTATGCTACTCCTTTGAATTGTTTACCTTCATATTTTTAGTATTGGAGCCCATGTAATTAATGTATCATTACCAGTACTTTTTGTGCATTTGTTTTGCTTTTTTAGGGAAATAGATCCAGATGTTAGCAAGACAACTAAAATATATCCATTGCCTCATATGTACGTAATTAAGGATCTAATTCCAGATATGAATAATTTTTATGCTCAGTACCGTTTTATTGAGCCTTATTTAAAGAAAAAGAATGTGTCTGAAGAAGATATTGGGAAAAAGACTTATTATCAGTCAGTGGAAGACAGAGCAAAGTTAGATGGGCTTTATGAATGCATTTTGTGTGCCTGTTGTTCTACTTCGTGTCCATCTTATTGGTGGAATGGTGATAAGTATTTGGGTCCCGCTGTCCTACTTCAGGCTTACAGGCAAGTGTTAAACGAATACCTAAGATTTCACAAATTTATTCATTAAATGGTGTTTTATGAACGGAGTTACTTACATTTATAGATAAGATTTCACTTTAAAAGAAAGAATATTTTATTTCGTTTTGTGTAGTCGATGTTACAACTTGTCTGTGATGAGTTCTGGCTACTATTAAATAACTTGGTTGAATGTACTACCTATAAGTTTGAATTACTAAGAGAAGTCAGCTTAAATTGTCTGGCTGGAAATGTAAATAACAGAAGTAAATTCTTGCATCGGTTGTCCTTCAGATTCCCAGTGCGAAAACAGTTCAATTAAAAGTAACTTATTTTAATATTACTACTGCTTGTTGTTTCTTTTTGTGTATATTCTCGTAGATTAACGAGCAAAGCTGTTCGCTCGCACTTACTAGAATATGAATTAAGCGATGTTGAAAATATTCATTCTACGTAACATAATCCGTAATCCTCACATCGCAATTAACAACCACACTGACTAAATATGTATAATTTTGGTTAGTTTGTCGAATTATCGTTTCTTCTGGGTAAGATTGTTAATGTTTTGCAAAATAAACTCATTACTTAGTTATGTACCAAAAATTATCCATTTAAAATTGCAGTACATTTTCGATATATCTCTTGCAGATGGTTAGTCGATTCACGTGATGATTATACGTATGAACGTTTGGCTGAGTTCCAAAACAAGTGGTCACTTTATCGATGTCATACTATTATGAATTGCACAGAAACTTGCCCAAAAGTAAGTGAATTGATTTAAACGTGTCAAACATTTACATTCATTTCTACTATAAAAATTATTTGGACATTTTCTTGAAACGGTTACATTTCTCTGAAAACAGATTTCAACTGTTAGCATACCATCACTCCTCGTATTCACAGTCTTGTCTTGTTGACATCGCAATTTCATATTGTGTGCATGTTTTATAATACTTGAACCAATGTTCAACAACAGATCAATTCAGTCGTGTGTAATCTATTTGGGGTTTTTCTAATGATGATGATGATTTGGTTTTTGTAATCGATAGTAAAAGATCCTTCCCCAAGAACGAAGATATTAGCAAAATCTGACTTTTCCTCCACTTAATATTTGACAACTGATCGCACTTTCGGAAATAACTTTGTAGTATTTCGGTCTTTTTACTCAAGTACCTTTTATTAAAGTTTTCATTGTCATCTTGGAGCAAACAATTTTATTTATTATTTTATTTAAACACATAAATATTGGTACAAGGGGGCACCAGATATACACGCGCCGATTGGAGCAAATTAACTTAGACAATGATGTATCGTTAGCTTGCAAGTGTTCGTTCATATATCACTCGGAAAATTTTAGGTTAGCTATACTTAAAGCGGTAAGCGATCGCTGGAGATGCAATGTCATGAACAGTACAGTATGATCCGTGGACGTCGATAACGTGTGACAGTAACAAGACTGACTATGTCGCTACGGGGATAGTGACAATAGCATATGAAGGACAAGTTCTGTATGCTTGACATGATCAACTAGCTTGTGAGGACATTGTGCGAGTTGAAAAACAAAATTTCGGCAATCAATTCTTGATACGTACACTGAAGACTAACATTTAAAATAACAAGGATCATGACTGGCTGTGACCAATAAGTTGTATATGTTTCTTAGACATCTATATATACGTATTATCAGTTTGTATATATATATATATTAATGCTCCTAGGTAGTTTGTAAATATATGTTAATTTATATTTGTATACATTTTATGTGAACCTTTTTAGGGATTGAATCCTGGTTTGGCTATTGGAGAGATTAAGAAAATGCTAATCTATTTCAATCAGTATAAACACAAGAAACCGGAGACGAGAACTGTCTAGACCATATAATCTCATTAATCACGTATTTTCTCGAATTCGGTTAACTTACTGACTATTTATAGTGAATCCCCATTAATTTTTCTCCAATTTTTAATTTAATTTATAAATACGAATTTGTTTTTTGTTGTCGAAATCTTAAAGTGAAGTAACTATTTCATCTTCATAAATTGTAGTAACATCATACAATATCGAAAGTCAGTGGAAAGATAACTTATGACTTTAAGTTAGAAGATATAACGGTTACCGTTTGTTGAAGGTTTGTTCACTTGACTGTTTTTTCTAGTATTATTAACCTTGGACATAAGAGGTAATGTCTAACCTCGGAATCTCCGAAATCATCTTAACCGTTAGTACGAATATACTGCATCGCTATCGATCATAATTACATTGGTTTAACATGAATTTTCGCCCTTTCTGGAACACGTATCCGTGTCTTCGTTAATACAGAAGTCTCAACTGAGAGACTTAAAGATCAGCACGAACTTTAAGGATATTGAAAAGAATGAACTAGCTGGATACAGGCATGGATTCTGAGACAATCTGACATCATTTAAAGTATGATTTTGGAAGCCAATTTAATTAAGGTCAGGCCTCTAACTTTCAGCTATGAAGTAAGTAAACGAGTTCGAGGAACAAGTTTTGATGGGTCATTTACAAAGGTCTGCAGGGACAGTGGTCCTGTAGTGAACAGAACACGGGTGGGGACAATCGAATGTATTCGACACAAAATCACAGGACTTGTTAATAAAATCTAACAACCAAATAGTAAATACGTAATTTGCAAAATGTCCATCAATTGTCTCATAATGACTCAGACTTCATTGTTCTTGCATTTTCATACAAATTGCATTCGGTCCCCATTCTTTACTGTTCGATCCTCTTGTCTCTCTGCTGCCAGACCTGTTCCTGACTGACATCATATACTACTTATGTCGATGTAAGTAGCACACACCACAGTCCAGTCTTGAAAGTTCGAATTACTGAGATATTAGCTGCTTTAAGGGTTGGACATAAACCTTAGTTGTCCCAGTTTATCAGAAAGGAGAGGAGTCATCCTGACTAATATTGTCTGAGATATAAGGACTGACAACCATCCAATGTTAAGCTGGAACTCTGAGATAGTTAAACCAATAAAACCAGAATGTTTATGGTCTTCAAGATGAATGTATGAAATGTCCACCCTCCAGGTTTCAGAATGCATGTATAACAGTAGACGCCCGAACGTACTTGTATTTCTTGATCCAAAGACTTCGTTTGGCTACCGTAATCAGTTTTTCATACCAGTATATCGTTGGAACGTTCGATAAGAAAAGTACATAAGCATCCTAAAAGCTTTTTAATCGTAAACATATCAGTGCTTGCAGTGAACTGTTTGCATCAATGCTGGCAACTATCTCCGCGTATATTTTAGTTTTGTTTTAGAAATAACAGTATTTTTGTTGAAGTCATTCTACTTGACGAAGTGTAACCCTTTAATGTTCTAAATTTGACAAAGTAAATATACAGTTTGAAGAAAAAACTGACAAGTAAAAATGAGGACATTGATTTATAAATACATCTTTCTTGATATTTATGAAATCACGCTTCCATTGAAATTCTTGTTTGAACTTTAGAAAGGTCTGTTGGTTAATAATCTGCGAAAGTCATTTGATGGATAGGAATCTAATGTTCGATGGTCGGAGACAGGAAACCTTCAACCAAGATTGTGTTAGTTGACACTCGTCGGCAAAACGTGCCTATAACTTAGAGGGAGCGATTGCACCCTGGTGATTTCGGACTGGGATCATTTAGTTAAGCAGTCTTGGACGTTATCACTCAGCACTAAGGACTAGACAAACAACATTATGTGCTACTCATTGATCATTCAAAATGCCTAAAAGTTTGCTTGAGAATGACTAGTATTTATCTGTCAAATAACTTTAAAATATTCCAATAATTAGTTACACTTCAGTTCGCTGATCTTAATTAAAATCAATATGTTCAATCGTATATAGTATTTAAACGTAACTTGTTTAAAAATTAGGTCTAGATAATTCTACTGACCTATATATAAGAATGAACACATTCGACAATCCTTAGCATTTAATACGTGAATTAACGGATAATTCTTAAACTTTCAAGTTTAACTAACAATATTTTAGTCTAAAGCGTTCTCTCAAAGTGAAGATCTTTATGATGGCAAATTTAATTTTGATATGACAGAACAACAACTGAGCCTGATATTTAAGGATTAATTCCATATGAGTAAACAACCTCTAGTTTTTGTATTCTTCAATTGTTAAAGGAATGACCTCTAATGATAATTATTCTTGTGTTCGAAATTTTGCGTACAAGTATTCCATTTTACTTAATTAGACAACTGCTTTGTCCTTTAATAGTAGTTTGATTGAAGGTTTAAGTCGATAATTCAGTCTGGCAAACAGCCATTACTCGGCAACAAAAATCGTGCCATTGCATATCGCCTATTGACCAGCATTCTTTTCTTTCACCCAAACATTCGAAAGATCATTCACAGAAATTCACTTTAGAACAGTGATACGAAATTTAAGTTTATGTAGCAAGATGAGCACTTTCCCAAAGGTACCACATTGGATCAGAAATCTTTTCAATTGTGATTACAAACATATTTGATAACTAAATGATGTTGACACAGAGCAATTTAATTTGTCAATAGATAAATTTAAATTACAGACCGTTGTATAATGTAAATTCAGTTAGATTTAGGCAACTGTTAAATCGTAGCACTCATACAAGACCTCAAATCTAAGTGAACCTTAGGACTAGTATAATATTTCTCAAACTGAAAAGAAATACGTTGATTTGCGATGTTTCAACTCTATTCATTTTGTTAAAGAGACAGAAGTTAGGGGTAACAACAAGTGTCTCCTAATCGTCTTTCCCCCCATACATGCGTTTTTAATCGCATTTCCATCTTTATTGATTCAATTTACAATCCACATTGAAAATAATTTCGTGAGCAATATATTTGACGTTTCATTGTTCATGCGACTCATCATAAACAGATGTAGTAATGATAATTCATTGTTTATTTAGAAAGCGAAAATGCAATTCAGTTCAAATAATTTATGCGATGACTAGAGCATTGGAGGTTACTTTATTTTCACTCAGTATGACAAGGAAATTGTAGAAATACGGGGAGGTAAAAGACTTCGTAATAACGGAAATGTTGTTCACATGATCCATTTCTATTGATAAGACGGTTATAGGTTAACCGTTTAGAATTTTTGATTGTTGAAGCTAAGTTTTGACCCAATAAAACATTTTTACATATTAAGTAATACAATAATCTCCAATATTCTATTATTATCATGCCAATTATCTACCAAAACCATTCTCTTCAAACTATGTTGTAATTTCCCTGTTCAAATGGATTCAATCTTCTCTGACGGATAATTCATTATATTGAATTGAGATTTATAAAGACTTTAAGTTAACGACACTTAATAGCATTTTTTGTAGCTCAGATGTGAGCAAAGAAATTCAAACGATGGTTGAAACACGTGTTACGTATGCCCGACCATCGACTGCCCCGGCGTGTTATGTTTTATGGTGTAGGAGTAGATTGGAAGAAAGCTAGGGGCGACCAGATAAAAGTTTTGACCCAATAAAACATTTTTACCTATTAAGTAATACAATAATCTCAAATATTCTATTATTGTCATATCAAAACCATTCTCTTTAAACTATGTTGTAATTTCCCTGTTCAAATGGATTCACTCTTTGATGGCACAAATCAATGAAGCCACTGACAGGTGGACTGAGCCATGTTGGTAGGTGTAGACTATCTGGTTGGGATCCGTGAGACGTTAGCAACCGATGGTTAGAGACCCTGAATGACATGGCTTAAAATCGTTTGCAATGGAGCAGGTGCATCCACTCTTTGTGTTCTGCCGAATTCTAATCTTCTGTATTCTTCATGTCCCTTTCTTGTTTTCTCTTTCGAAATTTATCCCACTGGACTACACTCCTTGAATAACATCAAACCCTAATCTTTCCTATAACTGCTTATACTCTTACCACCTCTATCACTACGGGATTTGAATCGACCACTGCATCTCTGTGCTAATGTGATATGGCAACTCGAACTGATGGTACGTACTTACGAAGTTCTACGTTGTTTGTGATTGACTGATACTCTACAAAGGATTATTGTTCGCATTTTCTATTTCAATAAACAATATACATATAATTCACCAGTTAAATACAAACAAACAAACAAACATCTTTTGATAAAACAACAAATGAAGTAGAAATTAAAGTGACAAAGTGGAAAATCCTTTTATTTACATAAATCTATTGACTTTTTAATGATTTACTATTCACTTTCAATGTTTTTAAATATTTCTCATTTAGGCTATTCACACTATTGTTAATAAGCAAATCATTTATCACAAAAATACCTAAGAGAATAGTAATATTCTCTAGAAGTACACGTATTTCTAACCAAAATTCACATCCTTTAATATGCCAATAATTAAAATTACAATCACGAATTAAAGATAATATTAAAAATGAAAAGCCAATAAGATAATCAGCAAATTGGAATAAATAATTTTTATAAGAAAATGTATTATTTAATAGAAATTGATCATGTATAATTACAGGAATTGAGTAGATGATACCAGCTGTTAACAAGCATATACCTAAAATTAGACTTAATAATTTAGATATATAATTGTCCATTGATAGAATTAATGTTGAATTAATTTCTGTCAATTGAATATCTCTATCTAGTTGGAATATTTCTACAGGTATACAGAATATACTTAATAAACATAATGATACAGACATTATAGTTAAGCCGAAAGCATAAACACTTGTAGTAGGCTTGATTTTGTGTAATTGATCAACCTGGTTATCGTTATTGTGTGAATCTGTCTGTTTTCGTTTATCATTATAGCCATTCACTCCAAGCAGTCGAAAATATACACCAATAGTAGTCAAACATCTTAAACTAATACGTGCACGGATACATTTTGAATACCCTAAACGTTTTTCTAAACAAAACACATATGTTATGTACAACTGACTTAAGAGGATTATGGTTAATGATAAACGTGTTAAGAAACGACTCGTTATTCCAGTTGATGCGATCAAACCAGAGCCAATCTATGAAATACAAGGAGAAAGATAAATGGAGAGGTATCACTTTAATTAATGAGATATTTGATAATTATCTTAAATGGTATAAAATGAAACTAAATCATATAATTACTGGTTGCCACTTTAAAGTCACTTGTATTGTAATGAAGAGGATTCATATTACAAATCCTGTAACAGTTGAGTAATCAATGAAAGTCACAAATTACAAAGTTTTCAGGAGTATAAAATCATTGCTTTCAAAATCGGTGACAAACCTATTCCTCAGTGGGTTTTGTATAGGATTGGCAACAGTTAGCGTAGCCATGAAGATTATGTGGTACTGAACCGCTGTTTCATCTTAGCGTGGGACTCGTCAGTGATGGGAACTCATGACTGTACATATTCGAACCATGTCGGAATATGGTACCCGAAGTGATATCGTTTCATACATAGAACTTGTGGAGATATGCCTGATAAGCTTATTTTGTAAATAGTTTTTGATGTTATTTACATTTTTTTTTATCAATTTTTCACTGCATGTACATTTATCATTAAATGACTGTACGTGTTGTTTAAGTGTATGACCTTAAACACACTTTCCTTCCGTTGTGTAATTTCATAGCACGACACACTGTTGACTGCTAACAAATATATTGTTGCGCACATACCTCGTTCTCCATTCATTTGTGATTGTATTAACTGAACTCTAAATCAAATACTGTCTAAATTTATAGACTGTAATCGGAATATATCATAATCTACGTTGCATTATACCACTGGGAATTCATCAAACTTACCGGAATTATCAGGGCGGCCTGCTTGAGCATCTGGGCTACCTGTTCCTGCCATCTAGATATTTCAACAAGTTATCTAATGTTGTTTGTTTTAATATATCATTATGTTTATTAATCGCATAACCTATTCTGCTGCGTTTCTAAAAAGTGTACAACCTTTCGTTGTCAAAGTTACAGAAAACTCAATAAGAGACAATATGGTTGCTGGCAATGTACAACGAAAAGAATGTACATTATTCAGTTGTTCATTCACTGAAGTGCTAACATCTAACTGGCGATTCCTCAATATTTATCGCCAGGACCGACCAAGAAGAAAGAAACGGAAACTTGTTGAAATACTTTGCGCTGAGAATTCTATATTGTACCAAAATTATAATATTGAATAAAGCTAATAATAATAATAATAATAATAATAATAATAATAATAATAATAATAATAATAATAATAATAATAATAATTGTGGATATTTGGTACCAGATCAAATCAGAACACGCACTAACCTGGTGAACTAAGTAACGTCCCTCATTTCCATTGTGTTTATAACATTTAATATATATATTAATATTACTATTTGTCCTTAATAACTCTGTTATTAATTTTTGAGTTCGTATATTGTCTGATCCACCACAATTATCTGGTGAACCTCGAATCTATTATAGACGTTATATTGTTTACATTTTTTACTTGATACACTAGTTTATTTTGTTTTTCACATCATGTACTCTCCGAATAAACTTATCGATATGGATTGTCCCCCAGTAAGTCCCCTCAACATCCAACACCAATTAACGCAGTTAACAACTCAGTTAGCATCATTACAAGCTACCATCGCGAGCATCCATTCTCGACCGCATAGATCCGTTTCCAGAAAAAGATCAGTGTCTAGACATCGTCCAAGCAGGCAGCTGGTATCTGTTGTTATCATCTGAAGTATGGTAATAAAGCACGTCGTTGCACACAACCGTGCAACTTTACAACAAGCAAGCACGAACACCAGGGAAACGAGCTGGCCAGACAGTAATGGCGGCGTCTGCTACTGGCCAACACGCTAGCCACCTCTTTCACGTCAGGGATCATTAAACTTACATGGCAAATGCATTTTCTCGAAACTCGACCTCGTGCTCACATACCACCAAATTCTGATGGCAACAGAAGACACCGAGACAAACAGCCATCATCACACCCCTTGGTCTGTCTGAGTTTCTGAGAATACCATTCGGATTGGAAAATGTTGCCCAGACATTCCGACGATTCATGGATGATGTTACAAGAGGCTAAGACTTCGTATTCGCCTACATAGACGGCGTTTTGGTCGCAAACTCATCAACAGAAGAACACGTCCAGCATGTTCAGATCCTCTTTGAACGTTTTAAGAAACATGGCGTTGTTATCAATCCTTCTAAATGTATATTCGCCGTTCCAGCCTTAGAGTTTTTAGGACATTACATTGACTCTAAAGGCATCAAACCACTCCCAAAAAAAGTTGAAGCTATTACCAATTACCCTGAACCAACCTCCGTAAAGTCATTACGCCATTTTCTCGGGACGTGCAACTTCTACCGCCGATTCCTACCACGTTGTGCAGATGTGTTACAGCCGTTAACTGATTTGCTGAAAAGTGACAAAAAAGGTACGAGGAAGGAAAAGAATCAAACATTCAAGCTAACTCCTGATGCCAAAATGGCATTTGAAAAAGCAAAGTCCTTGATAGCCAACGCCACCATGCTAAAACACCTCAATACTGACCCGCAACCCATCTGATTCTATGTACGGATGCCTCACAAAAAGCCGTCGGGGCAGTATTGCAACAACAGGTAAACAACATGACGTTAGTGCGCGTTCTGATTTGATCTGGTACCAAATATCCACAATTATAGATGGTTGATAATTCCGGTAAGTTTGATGAATTCCCAGTGGTATAATGCAACGTAGATTATGATATATTCCGATTACAGTCTATAAATTTAGACAGTATTTGATTTAGAGTTCAGTTAATACAATCACAAATGAATGGAGAACGAGGTATGTGCGCAACAATATATTTGTTAGCAGTCAACAGTGTGTCGTGCTATGAAATTACACAACGGAAGGAAAGTGTGTTTAAGGTCATACACTTAAACAACACGTACAGTCATTTAATGATAAATGTACATGCAGTGAAAAATTGATAAAAAAAATGGAAATAACATCAAAAACTATTTACAAAATAAGCTTATCAGTCATATCTCCTAAAAGTATCTATAGATTAAAATATCGTCTTTAAAATCTATCAACCGAAATAAACTCATCAATTTTCGAGACTACTCGATGTTATTTGAAGTCAGTGTAATTCTGTAATCAAGTATAACTTTGTGTAATCAAGTATAATAGATGTTTTCAGTGAGGGCTACTGATACAGCTCAGTCGTCTAAATTGAAGTAGATAACTTAATAAATAGCCCACCCGTTATAAACATAAGAAAAAGTATCCAACTCATTTGATGTATACTCTTAGTAAACATAACTGGACTAATTGTCTTATCTAAGATTATGACGTTTTGCTCAGTGAATTAATTCTAGATAAATAATAACCAGCTTCTAAAAATTACTGATGTTGATTAGTTTTCCGTTGATGACAGAAATTATTGTTTATTATATAGTAACTCTATAACGTGAATCATCTACCAAGTGGACGTTTATTTTCTAGGCCCTAAACTATATCTTTTGTGTGGTGATTAATGATACTACCTGAGTACGGAAACTGAAGTAGATGTGACGAGGTTCGAGTCTGTGACTTACTGATTAAAAGCTCATTTGCTCCAACCATTAAGTCATTTCTTCACATTTAAAACTTGTCAATCAGCAGTTTCATACATTCATTAAAAACCTAGCTGGCAGTATGATAAAGCTTTGAGTTCATTTGAAGATAATCCTAGGTCGTTCAACAGGGACTTCCTATCTGTTAAAGTTTTGTAATATCACGGTTCAAAGAGCAAGACTTATGTCAATGCCCAGTTGGTGGTACCTAAGAGTAGGAAAAGATAAAAAGGCAAATCATTAAGTGTTATTCTATCTACTATTTTAATAAAGTTTTTTAGACTTTAATCATCAACTTGTTTTTATCTGCAACATTTTTAGGCTTTGATCAATCGAATCCGAACACAAAGAAAATGTCCCCGATCACAATCGACATTCTATTATCTCTCAATTTTACCAAAAGAACACTAGCATTGATAATATGCCCCGCAGTTACAATAAATAGTGAAAATTTTCCGTTAAACGTTGGATTTTAATTCAGGTTCAAATTGAAACTACATTAGAAAGACATTTGGTTAACTCACATACGTATAAACTATCCATGGATGTATAGGTGGCTCTGTTTCATGATAAGCTCGCTCGCCTAACCATAATAACAGGCAAACTGACTGAAAGAGACTGATTCGAGCTAATAACCAGTGCGCACAACGAATTTGAAATGAGTAATAATGGAATGGCATTTTAATTGGTTACCCAATTACATAGGATTTCCTGTTATGAAGAGATTAGTTTTCACAGCTGAAAAATAAAACAATTATAAATGAAGCCAACAGTGAGAAGTACTCGTCTGATATACACAGACTAGTCTAGTTGTCTAATGATGTTGAAAGCAGTTCAAATCGTGACATTATTTCTAAGATTGAAAGTTTAAACCCTGTTGATCCCATTTCTCTTTAGATCTGAATAGCACATCTCATCCACATTTATCATACAGCTGGTCTCATAAGCTTTTGTGTCACTATTAATGCAGCTTTCTATGACTAGTGCTACCATGATACTTTAATATTCCAGTGTCTTTATTACTCATACCAGCTTCAGGATGACGAGAAAACAACTACCGTAATAATGTAACCCCTAACATTATTTCTTTGTTTTGTGAATAGAAATATTCCATGAAAGGTTTAGAGATCATGTCTCCGCATACCCGTTTAAGTTTCTGCTTTCGGATAAACAGCTTACGCAAATAAAAACGTTAATATCATAAAACTAGCTAATAATATATATGATTCATATTCGTGGGTAAACTGCCAGCTCTGTTGTAAAATACCATCATCATGTCTTGCACGGTGCAAGACAATTATCCACTTACGGGGTATGAAAAAGATGAGGATACCACAGATATTAGTGATGGACCACGTCTAAATAGGCAAATAAATGGTAGGGTAGAACCTACAACATAAAAATACATTAGAAGCTAATATTGGAACAAAACAGAACTTGTTGAACGTTATCTAGACGGCTTCCTAGGACTACTACGTGACGGAAAATTCCAAATTCGTAAATTTGCGTAATCCCAAAGACGGTTATTCTATACTTTGACGCTTTAGGTGAGTGATTTTAAAAGTAACATTTAGTGTCTTATGCAGAACCTTGAAAATTCGGCGAGACTTGAAGGAGCCGCCGAACAACCTTGAAATATTTATCTGATAAGTAGAGCAAATAAACATTTCTACTGAATTGACACTGATAATAAAGAATGCCAAGCCAATGTTCATTTCATCATAACCAGTGTCTCTAGACATAAAGTATTCGGACGAATTAATCAGGTCTAGTCTCAAGTTTATCCACTTTTACAGCTTCGAAACATTGCTGGTATTTGTTCATGATGAAGACGCCAATAATTCACAAGTATAAGTTCAATATTCATGTTAAAACTAACTTGTAATTATAATTGCGTTGTTTTATGACACAAATCGTTTAATAACTATATAAATCCCCTTGTCTAAATGTATAACCGCCAATCGGAGAATAGTGAATGACGCATAAACCCCGTGCACGTGGCCTAGAGTCTTTACCGGTTTTGCTTCCTATCTAACGCTGACTGTTGAGTCCAGAACGTAAATCTCTGCCTCTGCGATATGAATCATTTATTTCGAACATACTGGGTTTATATACAAACCAAACAGACCACATCGTACCATAAAATAGAAGACAACATTTGTACATTTGACAAAAGTGGCTGTGAATGTGGGTGATAGTAATTGATAGACTGAGAATAACTTTAAAATGGTAAATCGTAAAGTAATATTTCGTAGGTCAAGATAAAGCTTACAATAAGAGGAACACGAATATGAATAGTTTAGCTACTTTTTCATGCCTGTAGGTAACCCTCGTTCTTTTGATAGAAGAAACCAGATTTTTAGTGAATAGATAGTCACAGTGGAGCGTGGGATTACCTGTTTGAACACACAAAGCTTTCTAAGATTTACTATAAGATAATAGGAAATATAATGCCTATACAAAATAAAGAAGTGATTGAATAATTGAGCTCGTTTGTTTGGACATATACTTAGTTGCTTGGGGTCAACTCTTAATTAATCAACCTAAGCTGTTACAACTTAACAATTATACAAACATATGTATAGTATCAGTCCAGAAGTATATTCCAATAGTTACCATTCATTATTCTCATCGGGATATAACACTGGTAAAGGAAAATAGTCGATTTGCATCAAGGAGGAATAACTCTGGTCTCAAAACCGTACCCTAAGACACTCCACTAAGCATGGTTTGCCTACCTTGGAAGTCGTTTATCTACGTAAGAGCCGTACTCCTAGTCCCTGTTTTCCAGCATCTGGGATATGAATGGTAGGATTTATCTTTCACTCGAGAAAAGTATTTCTTTCATACATATTGCTTAAATAACTTTATTGTAGTCATTTTCCACTGAAAAATGGTTCGGAATTTCTCGGTTTCCTCGGCATAGTTGAGGGTGTAGAACTATGGTCTACTATGATATTAGTACTGCTCTAATAATAGACCTAATCCTAAATTTGTAGATTTGTCATGATGTAGAACAAGGTTAGGCTAGAGAAAGAACTATATATTTAATATGAATAGAAGATATAAGGTAACATTCAGCAGAGACCACGCCTGCATGGCCGAGCCATGCCACTCGATCAACTCCAGTCCATTCAATTCATTCTCCGCGCCTTCTCCATTGTTAGGTATTTTCCCGAGTTAAATATTGAATATCTATTTTCCGAGTAGTCTCGTGTTCACAGCTTTGTGGATTGTGTGGCTATTGTCCAATGCCACTACAAGGGTACGGGTAATGCTGCGCGTTTATGTGTACATTTCCAAAATCTTCACATGTTGTTCCTAAAGATTATTCTGTTTATCGTCCTTGCCATTCACAAATCTGGACGGATAATTCTTTTATATATTTGATTTACAAATGTTTGATCCGCCTTATGCTTACACAGTTGCTGACCACAATATAAATGTCCAAAACTGGACCCGCGTGGCCACTCATACCTAGTGGTGACATGTAACCACGGTGAGTTGTCTTGTTGTCGTAAATAATCAATAGAAGGAATAGTGAAGGTAACTTGGAGTTTGGGTCATATATACTTGCTCTCTAATCATGAAGTGCCACTTTGTAGTGGCATTGGACCATAGCCACACAATTCTCAAGGCTGAACACAAGACTACTCGGAAAATAGATATTCAACATTTAACGCGGAGAAATACCTAACGATGGAGAAGGCGGAAACAAGGAATTCAATTAGTTGGGGTTGATCGAATGGCATGGCTCGGACTTGCAAGCGTGGTCCATGTTGAATGTTACCTTATATCTTTTATTCATACTAAATATATTGTTCTACCTCTAGCCTTAGATTGTTCTACACCATGTTTTGGTGATTGTTAAGATATGATGAGTTGGTGTAGACGATGGCATTACTTCTACGTAAGATATTATAGATTCGGCAGTTATATCATTACAAGTCTGCAATTTTGGGATTAGGTCCATTATTAGCGCAATACTAATATCATAGTAGACCATAATTCTACAACTTCATATATAACAACCAAACTTTGTTCACAGGAATTTTCTCATAACTCTGTCTGTCAAGTCAAAACTTTGCTCTGGTTCCTATCGAAGCATGGTCGTTTAGTCCATTCGTGATTTATGATTCAAATTAAGCCTTGTCTTTATCCATCGGCTTATTAACGGTATTTCCTACTCTTCGGTATCCACCCATTCATACCCAATGATATCATCCCATAATACGGAAAATATTCTAGTGATTCCAAGAACCCACACAAACTTGCGCCATAATTTTTTCGTCATTCGCTACTCAACCACGTGGAACAGACTGCCTGTGAACCTCCGTTGCATCGAAACTACAGCCCGGTTCAGAAGTCTCCTTGATGATTTTCTTTTCGAAAGTGGATTGTGTCACCTATCGAGTATCAATGTATTTAATAATGATTTATACAAACAAGGTCTGTCGTCTATCTAAATGACTGAAAAGCAAAGTGTAACCTGCAAAACTCTCAACATCCAAAGTCTATAATAACGAATTATCTTATATTACACTAGAATAAATTAACTTCTCAGATTCGTTTTATCTTCACCACACACATGTCATCGATGTATAATGCTTCTGACTATCGAGTGAAACGGTCTACACAAGTTAAGCGATAAGATTACTCATTTAAATCTAATAAACGTCCTACCAAGTCCAGGTGAACATAGTCGAAACGAGCGTCAAGATTTGTGATAGAGCCCAAGTGACATTTGTTGTGTCTAATCACCTTAGATTTCTGACAGTTTTTACATGAGCATTCCCACTCCCTCATATCTTTATTCATACCAGCTCAGCAATATCGTTTTACTACGAGCTTGATGATTGCAAGAACACCTATATGAGAAAGTTTGTAATGTATTGAAGACGTTGAGTTGATAGTGTTTCCAATCCTATCTGTAGATGTGTCACATGGTAAGGTTTCCTTACCTGTTCGCATCTGTTTGATACGTACGTTCAGGTTTGCAGAAGACGCTGGCGTTGAAGATCAGTATCTTCTTTCTGAAGCCGGACGAGTTTGAGAAAGTCGAATCCTTGGAAACTGTTCAAGTTACACGAGAGAAAGCGTCCGCAACTGCATTGTTTGACATAGAGACGTGTTGCGTATCTGAAGTAAACTGAGAAATGTAGTCTAGCTGTCAAGACTTTCGAGGTGAATTCTTGTTTGAAGATGAGCTTAAAGAGGAAGTAAGAGGCTTATAGTCGGTAAGCAGAGTGAATTCTCGGTCTTCATCAGCGTTGAAATTGCTGCACAGTACACCACATGTCTGGGAGTTCCCTACTGAAAGTGCAACACCTCGGTTCAGTGTATTACAACCGTCTCGAGAAGGATGTCGAAGGTTGTCATGTTTTGTTTACCCATTGTTGTAAGACTTCTCCGATCTCTGAGTCCAATGCGTCTACTGCGATTTTAACAGGTACAAACTAGGAATCCCAGAAACAAAGCTATTGGATCAAGAAGTACTAGATAAGCACGAACGAATGTACTATATCTGGAATTCGAAACCAAGCATTCAAGAAGTACAAATGAATGATTGGTTCATACAAACACTACACTTTCTCACTACTTTTCACATGTATTATATGATCTTTAGCTGAGAATTGTGATCATATAATAATACTTTTCTAAATCACACAAAACGTAAACTAGTTAATGATTGTAAACTTTTGCTTACATTAACCAGTAGTAATCCGAAACAGGAAGAATACTAATCACTAAACAAACAAACAACAAAGTGTTTCACTTGGTGTTGTTTTACTTATATCTTCTCATTGTTGTTCAGGAGTGAATTGATCAGTCTCATGTTGGTATATGTGCATTCTTTGAGGATCGCCTTGATATAGCCATAAGTCACAAGTTTTTTTAAGCAAAGATGGATAGTGGCTAGCAGTGGGTTCGAGTCCCAGAGTGAACATCAATTGTGAGATGCAGGTACATCCAGCTGACGAGTCCCAAATAAGACGAAACGCGCGTCCTGGATTCCACTGCTAGCCACTATCCATCTTTGCTTATTTAGTTTGTTTTTTGCTGTTTTTTTGTTTTTTCAATGACTTTTCAACTGATATCTAGATTGAACTAATCTTAACTAAGTATCATTACCAAGGTTTGATTTGATCATTTCAAATAAATTGAGCATTGGGTAGATTGTTATCAATAAATAAATAAATAATATATGTGACATAATATTCTTGTGTTATTCCGTTGTTCTATTTAAACTTGGATTAATTTTAATTTGGTTATTTATGCAATTCTCTGAAGAAGTGGCTTACACTAAGTCACGAAACGTTAGAAAATCTCATTTTTCTACTCATTGGGATCTATTATCATTATTTATTTATAATCCTAATTAAATATTTAAACAATATTTCAAATGATCTCTGTTATACTTTAGAATCTACAGTTTCATAATGCAATTTCCCATTCCATTTAATATTTATAAACAGTCTAAATAGTCAAATAAACAATCATTTAATATACAATATGGTAAGACGAGTTTAACTTTATAAATAAATTATTCAATGGAATAACAATAACAGATGAAGGTTATAAATCATGAAATGGAATTTTATCATTGTAAATGTTAACGATTTCTTAATATAGACGT